TATGTATGGTGTCAGATGGGTACTAGATTTATCAGGGTGATCACAAGTTATATAAATGTCTAATCATTACATTGTACACATGAAACTAATATAATATTGTATGCCAACTGTATCTAAAAAGTAAAAAATATATACTGAAAAAAAATCAAGGGGGAAAAAAGACCAATACCAGATAGAAAATTAGGCAAAAAACATGGCTCTTATATATGAAATTATATTCAACTCTCTCATAGTAAGAGAAATGCCCATTAAATTTATAGAGAGATACCATTTCTTACCTATCATATTGGAGAAAATTTAAAAGCCTGACAATGTGCAGCCATGGAGAAACAGGCAGTATCATACATTGCTGGTGGGAATAGATAACAGTACTACCCCTAAAGAGAGGAAATATCCAACAAAACTGCAATTGTATTTACCTTTTGACTCAGCAATGCCACTTGTAGGAATTTATATAGAAACTATATCTGCACAAAAAGGAAAAACCATATGCACAATATATTTCATTGCAACATCAGTCTTAATTTTAAAATACTGGAAACAAACCAAATTCCTCCATGCATTGGAGAATGGTTGAACAAACTGGTACAACCACTAGTGGAATAATAAGCAGCTATAAAAATGAATGAGTCACAGAAATAGAACAAATGATTCTAAAATTTGTATGAAAGCATAAAAGACCTTGAATAGCCATGGCGATGTTGAGAAAGATGAACAAATCTGGATGCATCACGTTCCCTAATTTCAAACTGTATTACAAAGGTAGTTATCAGTATGGTATTGGCATAAAAACAGACACATAGATCAATGAAACAGAATAGAACCCAAAAATAAACCCTCATATATATGGTCAATTAATTTATGACTGGCCAAGAATATAGACTAGGTAAAGGAAGTCTCTTCAATAAATGGTGCTGGGAAAACTGGACAGCCACATGCAAAAGAATGAATCTAGACTACTATCTTATACTATGTGTAAAGATTAACTCAAAATGGAATAAAAACCTGAATGTAAGACCATAAAACCATTTGGGACATTATGGATGGACCTGGAGAGCATTATGCGAAGTGAGATAAGTCAGACAGAAAAAGACATATACCATATGATCTCACTTACCTGTGAGCATAAATCAGAAACTAACATGATTGGTTATCTCCAAGGTGGGGTGAGAATGGGGAAGAAGGTACAAGGGAGAGGTGACAATTCTATGTATATATTTTTGTATAATTTGTCTCTTCAAATCATATTAACATTTTACATATAAAGGTATGAATAAAATCAATAAAAATGAAAAGAAATAAAATCTAAAATGGAATACGAACAAAAAAAATGAACCTAACTGTATACCAAGTAAATAACATAAGCACACTGGATAAGAAAAAAGAAAATGAAAAACTAATTCAGGTTACTCTTAAACTGAGTAGTTTGATTACATATCTTCAGTATAAAAGGCATGCCAACAAATCATGTACTCATTAGGTTGGTTTTTCACAGTTGCAGGTACAGGAATTCTGATTCTACTTTCTATATATTGTAAGACTGAGTAAATGAGTCAATATATTGTTGCTAGGAGCCAGTGCTCTCACTGTTGGAAAAGGGAGATGCAAATATAGAATGAGAAAAGACTAGGAAGATTTCTGGGATATTGTATAAATTCAAAGTATGTATGTATGTGTGTATGTACACATGTGGGCATGTGCATGTATATATATTATAAAATGCATATATATATATATGTATATATATATATGTATATACACACATAGATACATAGACATAAATAGACATACAAACACCAAGCTCTGTTCACTGAAAAGACCTAGAAGTAATGATACCCCAGTAGTGATGAACACACCTAGCACATAGATTTTGGTTTCTTTTCTATATGTCATTATCCACTCATTGGAACCAGTGCTCCATGGAGAATTGACTGATTCTAGGCCTAGGTCAGAGAGAGTAAAAGATGAGGGCTCATTGCATCAGACAGTAAGGAAGTACTCCAAAAATTATAGGGCTGTAACAAAGGGACACAAAAACCAGCTTTAAAAGGCTCCCACTGGCCAACTCAGGGATAACTGAGCATCAAAATAAATAATGACAGTAATGGACTATAATCCATTGAATAAAATAAAAATCCATAAAAATAAAAATGCTATATTACTGATATAAATAAGTAAGTAAAGGAGAAGAAGATGACCCATCTTCTAACACCATGACCTTGAGTACTGGGATTCTAACGTGAATTTGGGGAGAACACAAAAATTCAGGTAATAGCAAAGGTCAACAAACAAAAATCAGTTATATTTCTATATACTGGCAATAAATATTGGAAACTGAAATTTTAAAAACAAAATCATTTATAATAGCTTTAAAAATGAAATAAATGAAATATGTATACGTCTAACAAAACATGTTATGAACTAAACTGTGTCCCCTCCACCAAAAAACATATGTTAAAGTTCTAACCCTCAATGTGAATTTATTTGAAGAAAAGACCTTTAAGAAGGTAATTAAATTAAACGAGGTCATAAGAGTGGGGCCCTAATCTGATAGGACTAGTGTCCTTAGAAGAAGAGGGGAAAAAAGGTCAGAGCTCCCTTTCTCTCTCCGCACAAGTACAGAGGAAAGGCCATGTGAAGATACCATGAATTGGCTGTCAACCAAACAGAAAGAGAGGTCTCACCAGAAACCAATTCTGACAGCACCTTGATCTGGGACTTCTAGCCTCCAGAACTGTGAGAAGATTTCTGTTGTTTAAACTACTCAGTCTGGCATTTTGTTATGACAGCCCAAACAAACTAATATACATTTATAGGATCTGTATGTTGAAAAGTACAAAATATTGATGAAATAAATCACAAAAGATCTAAATTAATGGAGAGATATACCATGTTCATGAGTTGGAAGATATAACATAATAAAGATATCAGTTCTCCCCAAACTGATCTATAGGTTTAACTCAATTCTTATCAAAATCTTAGCAAGATAGTTTTTAGATATATAACAACATTATCCTAAAATTGATATAGAAAGACAAAGGCAAAGGAGCAAGACTAGCCAAACAATTTTGCAAAAGTAGAATAAAGTTGGAGAAATCACACTACCTGATTTTAAGACTTACTCTAAAGCTGCAGTTAATGAGGACAGTGTGGTACTGGCAGAAGGTTAGATACATAGATCAATAGAACAGAATCAAGTTCAGAAATAGACCCCACAAATATGGCCAATCGATATTGACAAAATTGTAAAAGCAAGTCAATGGAGAAAAATGATTCTTTCAACAAATGGGGTTAGAACAAATGGCAAGCCATATTCAAAATAATGAACATTGATCTAATCCTCACACCTTATATAAAAATTTATGCAAAATGAATCATAGGCTTAAATGTAAAACCTAAAACTATAAAAATTACAGAAGAAATAGGAAAAAAATCTTCATGACCTAGGGTTTGGCAAAGAGTTCTTAGACATGATACCACAAGCACAATCCATAAAGGAAATAATTTATAAATTGGACATTTTCAAAATTAAAAATTCTTGCTCTGTGAATAACGCTGTTAAGAGAATAAAAAGACAAGCCACACACCTGGAGAAAATGTTTACAAACCACATATCTGACAAAAGACTTGTACAGAGAATATATAAAGAAATGGAGAACAGATCAGTAATTGCTAGGAGTCTAGAACTGGGAATGGGGGAGTTAGGGGTGGATGTGACTATAAAAGGGCAACGTAAGGGGTCTTTGCGGTGATGGAACTGTGTCTTCACCATTACAATGTCAATATTCTGGTTGTGACATTGTACTATAGTTTTGCAAGATGTTACCATTGGGAGAAACTTGGTAAAGGATACAGGGGATCTCTGTATTTTTTATAATCGCATGTTAATCAATTATTTCAAAAGGAAGTTTAATTTTGTTTAAAAGGTTACATACAGTATGATTCCATTTATATGGCATTCTTGAAAAGATAAAACTATAGTAACACAGAACAGATCTGTGGTTGCCTGAGGTTACAGGTCAGGGAGGATCAGACTATTAAGTGGTAGCATAAGACTATTTGTTTTTTTGTTTGTTTGTTTTTTGCATACTGAAACTATTCTCTATCCTATAGATTAGTTACACCAATCTATACATGTGTTAACATTTATTGAACTGGACAACAAAATCAATTTTACTGTACAGTAATTTAAAAAATAAAAAAATTAAAGTGAAAGGGAAAAAGCGATGGGCTGTGGGTGTCTGTAAGACTTTGTCTCATAGCCAAATGAGAATCAAAATTTCCCATGGCCATGCCACCCTGAACAAGCCCGATCTTGTCTGATCTCGGAAGATCACGTAGGATGGGAGACCACCTAGGAAGACCAGGTGCTATAGGCGTAAAAAATAAAAAATAAGGGATTGTAAGCTGACAAGGTCCTTGCAATCTGTGAGGTCAAGGGCTGCCTCACCTTAAAAAAAAAAGAATCAAAATTCCAACTGAGAAAATTACTTCAGGAAAATCAGTTGAAAG